GGGGGGGTCGTGCATAATATTACATTTGGAAATAGTAAGGTAAAGTTCAAGTTATAAGATAACAAATGTGTGATAACAATACTTTAGAGTCAAACAAACAGCACCATCAACATGTATTAGCAGGAAAGAAAATGTATGTTTATTAACCCTAAAGATAAATATTAATCTGTTTAGTGTTAATATATTTTAGAGATTTGGGGCAGATCCTTAGCTAGTGAAAATGAACATATCTTCATTGCAAACTGAGTAACTGGCAATGCATAATGAATCTAAATGCCACAGACAGGTACAATTATTAGATACTTTGCATGTACTGTGACAGACCCAGACCATTGGGGTACAGGAGTCTGGTAGAGGGCAAATATACTGGTCACTGGATGAGTAGTTTTCTGTTCCCTGAGTAACCAGAGCAGGGGCTGCACTAGAGTAGTCAGGAACCTGCTAGAACCAGTTAAGGCAGGCAGGCAGGCTAATTAGGACACCCGGAGCTAATTAAGAAGCTGCTAGAATCAATTAAGGCAGGCTAATCAGGGCACCTGGGTTTTTTTCAGTTTGTGGTGTGAGTGTGAGGAGCTGGGAGCAAGAGGTGCAAGGAGCTGAGAGGGCGTGCTGTTGGAGGACTGAGGAGCATAAGTGTTATCAGACACCAGGAGGAAGGTCCCGTGGTGAGAATAAAGATGGTGTTGGGAGGAGGCCATGGGGAAGTAGCCCAGGGAGTTGTAGCTGTCATGCATCTGTTACAGGAGGCACTATAGACAGCTGCAGTCCACAGGGCCCTGGGCTGGAACCTGGAGTAGAGGGTGGGCCCAGGTTCCCCCCAAACCTCCCAATTGACCTGGACTGTGGGTTCTTCCAGAGGGGAAGGTCTCTGGGCTGTTCCCCAGCCCACATGGTGAATCTCTGAGGCAAGAAAATCTGCCAATAAGCACAGGACCCACCAAGATAAAGGAGGAACTTTGTCACAGTACATATCAGTATCTGGGGAGCTGAGACTAGAATCTTGGTTGCACAAAACACAGGACCAGACCAGTTCATCTAAAGCAGAAACTCTTTCCATGGTAGCAGTAGGAGGTCCCTTATCCTCTATGTGGGTGAGCAGCTAGAGGACAATGTCACAAAGCCATTAGACTACTAGATTGCCAATACCTCTCATCAGATGTCTTCAAATAGCCAATATTTTACTTAACCCAAGAGGATTGCAGGCAGACATTAAGACTGTCAGACAAAATGGACCAGTTCCCTAGCTGATACAAATGGGTATAACTTCACTGAAGCTGATAGAGATACACCCATTTGCACCTCCTGAGGTTAGGACCCATTGCTTATGGTGTCATACAAGCAATACAGTGAGCAGTGGAGCTGGCTATACCAGGAGGATAACGCAACCCGCTTTCCCCCGATGCTCCCTGTCAACATGCTCTCTTTGCAAGTGGCTCTAGAGACCCACTTCTGCGGCATATGGAAATCGCCATTTTACTCATTGTCATTTTACCAAGACTACATTAAACTAAAACCAATAACCTGCTAAATTAAGCAGAAAATAAAGCTAAGAACAAATCTACCTGGCATCATGCCCTTAAACTTACTAAGACTGGGGCTTGGGCAATGGACCAATGGAAGTGAATTGCAGCCCAGCCACTAGCCCAAGCCAATTAAACCCACAGGCACTGAGAGTCAAAGCCTCCAAGCAGATCCTAACGACAATGACAGGGAACAAAGATCCCCAGAGATAGATGGGTCCTGGGCCTTACAGGGATTTGAAAATAATCCTGAGCACTTTTTGAATTGCACCCAGAACGAAACAGAAATGCAGTGTAAGGATTCAAGCACACCTCTCAGAAGCTAAGAGTCCTGTCCAGTGCGAGAAATGGGCAGCTGCATTCTGCACTGGACAGGGCTATCGGGTGCACCTTTAAGGCAGCGCTGCATCCCATCAGCTCATCACTATTCCAGTGCTGATCATTAACCAACTACTCACTGAACATGAATACAGCAGACATCTGAGTGTTTCTTCATCTCAGTTATTCACCTAGATTGTGACTAGGACTATGCATTCACACTGGGGAGAAGGAATCCCCCCTCAGCATTCTCACTTGAGCTACTCAAAGGTTGGGTAGGTGTAGGTGGAGTTACTTACCCACTTACTCCCTCCCCAGAGCAGGTGGAAGGGGAATGGACAGAGACTCAGCTCCTGCCCTTACTCACTGGTCAGAGTCATGAGGAGAGCTGCGGGAGCTGGGAGTAGAAGTTGGCATTGGTCCTATAGACCAGCAATAAATTAGCATCCTGAGGAGCAAGGAGACAGCAAGGGAGGAATTGAGGCAGAGAAGGATGTCTCCCAAGGATACTTCTGGGAGCTCATGTACCACCCTTTGCTCAGGGTTGTATCTAATGTTACCATCTAGCCCTAAATCTTATTTTCCTTCCATGCAGATGGCCAGCTCTCTGCTTTCAATTATAAACTAGGGGCAGTGGTGTGAACTAAACCTAAGGGGCTGAATTCAAACTGGGTTTGCACTGGCTTGTGCTGCTGTAACCCCAGGCGCATGGTCCCACAAGTAGAAAGTTTTCTGGGGAGACATCTCTGCTACCATGTCTTCAGCATCCCCTCCACAGTGGTATGGACAGAATGGGCAAGAGCAATGCCATAAGTGGCTAGGAAGGGAGTATTGCAAAGGTGGGGAGCGCACATGCTAATTCAGTGCATCCCCTCTGCAGTCTCCACAGGGAAGATTCCTATGGATCTTTGACTAGAAACTAAAACTGTCCCCACACAATGAAAGCCCGAAGACAGTGGCAGCAGTAGTAATGTCTCCTTTTCCTCCATGCAGGGAAATTAGTACCTCCCTCTACACTTATCTTAGGCCACTGTGTTTGACCAGAGTCTAAAAGAAAACCCTCTAGTAGAGGATCATGTACTGTGAGGAAAACATTGAAAGCTGGTTGGTTCATAGTGCTGTTAGAAGTAAGAGAGAAAGAAAGGAGGATTTTTCTCTCTAGTATAAAGACCTGGTGACAAAACCACTACCTTTCTGATTGAGAAAACCCCCAGACATATACAGCACACGGGAGCACACGTCCGCTGGGATGTATTTAAATAAACATAAGCTATAGGCAGGAAGGAGAACTAAGCAGGTTGTTCTTCCCTTTTCAGAGATGATTCTGCTGGCTGCATTCCTGGGCCTGGCTGTTGTGCTGCAGCCATCCACCGGACAGGTAGGGCGAGAGTTGGGTGGGAAACATTTTTCCAATCCCAGGAACATTGTGAGATTTCTGAAATGTTTCTTGTCCTGAAACAGGACGAAAAATAAAAATATCAACTATTTTTGCAAACTGAAAAAGAAAAACATTTGGTTCAAGTCAATTGAATCATCCCACTTCAGTCATTTCAAAGCACTTCATGTTGATTTTTGACTATATTTTCGGGCAGGGTGAAATGTTAAGAGTCCCCAGGTTGGGGGGTTGTCTGTAAGCGAGGACTGGCCTGCCTCCCAAGGTCTGAAGCAAATACTCACCAGCAACTACACACCACACCACAGAAACACCAACCCAGGAACCAATCCCTGTAGCAAAGCTTGTTGCCTACTCTGTCCCCATATCTACTCTGGCGACACCATCAGAGGACCCAACCACATCAGCCACACCATCAAGGGCTCATTCACCTGCACATCTACTAATGTTATATATGCCATCATGTGCCAGCAATGCCCCTCTGCCATGTACATTGGCCAAACCGGACAGTCCCTCTGCAAAAGAATAAATGGACACAAGTCGGACATCAGGAATGGTAACATACAAAAGCCAGTAAGTGAACACTTCAGTCTCCCTGGTCATTCTATTACAGATTTAAAAGTCACTATC